GCAGCTGCGTGAGTGGTACTTACAGTACTGCAGCCTCAGGAGAGGTGCTTCTGGAGCTAGGAGTACTGCTGGAGCTGGGGCTAGTGCTTCCCCTCCTAGGCGGGAGCTACCCTCTCCCCAGCGGCTCCGAGAGTGGTACGCACGGCGCTGCGGTCTCCGGAGTGGCGCTCCTAGTGTCGCGGACCCTGGAGTTGGAGGTGCTGCTGCTGCTGGCGGTGCTGCTGGTGCTAGTGGAGGTGCTGCTAGTGCTGGAGCTGCTGGAGGTGCTGCTGCTGGCGGTGCTGCTGGCGCTGCTGGAGGTACTGCTGGTGCTGGAGCTGCTGGAGCTGCTGGAGGTGCTGCTGCTACTGGTGGTGCTGCTGGTGCTGCTGGAGTTGCTGGAGGTGCTGCTGGTGCTGTTGCTGTTGGAGTTGCTGGAGGTACTGCTACTCCTGGAGGTGCTGCTGGTGCTGCGGACCCTGGAGTTGGAGCTGCGGCTGGTGCTGCGGACCCGGGCGTTGGAGCTGCTGCTGGTGCTGCGGACCCCGGAGTTGGAGCTGCTGCTGGTGCTGCGGACCCTGGAGTTGGAGCTGCTGCTGGTGCTGAGGACCCTGGAGTTGGTGCTGCTGCTGGTGCTGACGACCCTGGCGCTGGTGTCTCTGCTGGTTCTGGAGACGCTGCGCGGCCGCGACCGTACTTCGTTCCGCTCCTTCAGCAGGTTCTTGGTCAGCCTCCTCCTCCTTGTCCTCCTCCCTCCTTAGAGTGTCCTCCGTCTGTCCAGTCGCAGTCACAGTTACCGTCTGCCTCCCCTCTCCCTGGTCCTTCTCCTTACACTGGTCCGACTGGAGGTCTTACGGAGCGTCGTGAGCCTGAGTCTCGTCCTGCGTCGCCTGAGTCTCGTCGAGCGTCGCCTGTTCGTGCTGCTCACACTGGTCGTCGTGTCCCGCGTCAGCGTCCTCCTGCTGTCCCAGGCACTCACCAGATGGCGCTTCGTCCTTCCACTGCTCCCCAGCGTGTCCCTCTCCCGTCTCCTCCTGCGTCCTCTCTTCCTGCTCTTGCTGACCCTGAGTCTGACTCCCTTCGTGCTGCCAGTCCTACTGTCACGCGTCTCCTGGCTACTGTTGTCACTGACCCTTCCTTTGAGTCCACTGCTGCGTCTGCCTTAGTTGCCGAGCTTGTCGACTTTGCTGCCGCTTGTCGTCTAGACTACGCCGCTAGCCTAGTTGCTGAGTCTGAGTCTGTCTGTCCTCCGTCCGTCGGGGGTGAGTGTGCTCTTGGCACGGACGTCCTTGAGGACAGGCAGGAGGAGTTTGAGTGCTTTGCCGCTGCTTTACCTCATCTCGTGTCCATGCTAGTTGCCCCTGAGGGAGACCCGGATGCACCAGACATCCCGACTCCGCGCTCTTACGCAGAGGCGATAGAGGGTCCCTACTCCTCTCAGTGGCAGACAGCCATGGACGCAGAGATGGTTTCCTGGAAGTCCACAGGCACCTACGTCGACGAGGTTCCCCCACCTGGGGCGAACATCGTCAGTGGCATGTGGATTTTCAGGGTGAAGCGGCCGCCGGGTTCTCCGCATGTCTTCAAGGCGCGTTACGTTGCACGAGGCTTCAGTCAGCGAGAGGGAGTTGACTTCTTCCAGACCTTCTCCCCGACCCCGAAGATGACCACTCTTCGGGTTCTGCTGCACGTCGCCGCTCAGCATGACTACGAGCTCCACTCTCTTGACTTCAGCACTGCTTTCCTACAGGGCAGCCTGCACGAGGAGATCTGGCTGCGCCGCCCACCTGGCTTCACTGGGTCGTTCCCTCCTGGTACCCAGTGGAGCCTCCGGCGGCCAGTCTACGGTCTCCGACAGGCGCCACGTGAGTGGCACAACACACTGAGGTCTACACTTGCGGCTCTTGGGTTCGCTCCTTCTACTGCTGACCCGTCGCTGTTTCTACGCACCGACACCTCGCTGCCGCCGTTCTACATCCTCGTGTACGTCGACGACTTGGTCTTTGCCACTGCTGACACTGCGGCACTCGCCCACGTGAAGTCGGAGCTGCAGAAGAGACACACGTGCACAGACCTGGGTGAACTGACAAGTTATCTTGGCTTGCGGATCACCCGGGACAGAGCACGGCGCACCATCACCTTGACTCAGTCACACATGGTGCAGCAGGTCCTTCAGCGCTTCCGCTTCACGTACTCCTCGCCTCAGCCCACTCCTCTGCCTACCGGTCACTCGCTCTCAGCTCTGCCTTCGGATGAGTCCGTAGAGCCGAGTGGCCCGTATCTAGAGCTTGTGGGCTGCCTCATGTACCTGATGACCTGCACTCGACCTGACCTTGCATACCCTCTTAGCATCCTTGCACGCTATGTCGCTCCTGGCCGTCACCGGAAGGAGCACATGGATGCCGCTAAGAGGGTGTTGCGCTACTTGTGCAGTACGTCGGGCATGGGGCTAGTGCTTGGAGGACGAGACCGAGTTGTACTCACTGGGCACTCAGACGCGTCTTGGGCTGACGACCAGGCTACTCAGCGGTCGTCTCAGGGTTACACCTTCAGCCTTGGCTCTGGTTCAGTTTCTTGGCGTTCTACACGCTCGTCTTCTGTTCTCAGCTCCAGTTGTGAGGCTGAGATCTACGCCACAGCCATGGCTGCACAGGAGTTACGCTGGCTCACCTACCTGCTGACCGACTTGGGAGAGCGGCCTCGTTCTCCTCCAGTGCTGTACGTCGACAACAAGGCTGCCATTGCCTTGTGTCAGGAGCACAGACTGGAGCACAGAACGAAGCATATCGCTCTACGCTACTTCCTTGCTCGAGAGCTGCAGCAGCGCGGTCAGCTTCGTCTGCGTTACGTGGCCACTCGGGCCAACACTGCTGATGTGTTCACCAAGGCGCTTCAGCCTTGTGACCATCAGCGCTTCTGTACTGTTCTAGGCCTTGTGCCTACTGGGCCTCACTTGCTTACTTCTTGACTCTGCTTGTACTGTGATCTCTCTATATATATACCTGCATGTTTACTCTTGCTAGGTTGTGATCGCTGTATCTCTTGTTATACTATCAACCTGCATGTGAACTGGTCTTGTGACCACTTGCTTGTGCTCGGAATTTGTGTGGTTTCCTTGAGATCCACCCTGAGCTTGCTTTGCTTTGCTTTGACTGGTCTTGTGACCATCTGGTTGTCTCCCACTTAGCCTATGGGGGTGTGTCAAACATTATATGTTTAAATTGTGTAGGCTATAGTGGGTTTAGCCTTAGGGGGTACAACTTTGTTAGGGTTTCCTACTTGTATCCCCCTCCTACCTAGTTTCATCCATTCTCGTTCACCTCTACTTTACAACACACGCTACTACGGGAATTACTGCTACAGGAGGCACACGACAGAGTCACCTCAGGCCATTTCGGAGTAGAAAAAACACGGCAGCAACTACAGCGGTATTATTACTGGCCCGAAATGCTGACCGACGTGCAGCGACACGTGGCATCGTGTCCCACCTGCCAACTCATGAAATCATCACGGAAAAGGCCGGCGGGACAGTTGTAGCCGATACCACCCCCAGAGCGTGCTTGGCAGCAGGTGACGATGGACTTTGTCACGGGGTTACCGGCTGGAGCAAGTGGGAAAGACGCAATCCTGGTCGTCGTCGATAGGCTGACGAAAATGGCACACTTCGCAGCCTGCACGAAATCAATCACAGCCGAAGAAACAGCCAGCCTCTTCATCTCCACCGTCGTTCGACTACACGGGATACCAGCAGCGATCATCAGCGACCGTGACACGAAATTTACCAGCAACTTCTGGCGGAACATGTGGCAGCAGTTCGGCACACGACTACATTTTAGTTCTTCGTACCACCCCGAAACCGACGAACAGACAGAACGGACAAATCAGACCATGGAGCAACTTATCCGAGCCACGTGCGACGATCCGACCACATGGGAACAACAATTGCCACTCATCGAATTCGCGTACAACAACTCACCATCCGCCACGACCCAACAGTCACCGTTTTACCTAAACTACGGACAAGACCCTACAGTACCCATGACCCCGAATCCCGACAACCCAGTACCACGTGCACAACAGTTCACAAAAATCTTACAAGCAGCACGAACCAGGGCAGCCGAGGCAATTAAAAAAGCCAACGTCATCGCTAAGCGCAACGCCGACCGCCACCGCAGACCTGTCACTTACCAGCCCGACGACCTAGTTTTACTCGACACTCAAAACTTCCGCCTGCCCATAACCTCGAAACTCCGCCCCCGATATTGCGGGCCATTTCGCATCAATCACATGGTCACACCCGTCACCGCCCACCTCCTCCTCCCTGCTGACTGGTACGTCATCCCGTCCTTCCACGTCAGCCTGCTTCGCCCTTACGTACCATCCACCAGCCAACTGCCCCGCAACCGCCCAGCCAGCATGACACGACCGCCGACAGAACCAATCATCACGCCCGAAAAGATTATGAGCCAACGAGTTCGTGACCCACGGGGAGCCCGAAGGGTCGAATTTCTGATCCGCTGGAAAGACCGCACGCCCACCGAAGACAATTGGGTTCCTCTGGACAGAATCACAAACCACCCCGTCCTCACCGAGTATCTGTGCAGCCGGAATTCCCGGGATGTACACGCGCTGTCGTAAAGAGGGCCTCCTTAGGAGGGGGGTAGTGTAGGGAAAATTCCTTTTCCTTACTGCGCGTCCCTGCTCAGCGCGTACACCACTGTTTTCCCGCCAACAGCACCCCACAATCATCCGTTACCACTCGCGACATTCGCCTCGACACTATTCCCGCCACTGTTCACGACACGACCCAACCTCACGGTTCGGCTGGTAACCCGCGCTCCGGACCTCCGCCTCGACAATCCCCAACCTCGGCGCCAGGCCCGTCGCGCACCCCATTTTTCACACGTTACCGTTACCAGTGTAGCTTCGCTATATATTCTTAGTTCAATCCTTCGCTCATTGTTTTCTTGCCTCGATAGTGCAATTCTCGCTCGCGTACACCCTGAATTCGCCTAGCATGTATGCCATGTGCGAACCAATCACGAGGGCACTGGGCAGCACAATGTCTGCCAATGTGGTTCCCTGACGCACATGTGATGTTTGTGCGTGCGGCGAAGGGATTCTTGGTGTTGGGTGACCTGTCTGACACAAACATCCCGTCCTGGCAACCGTCCTTGCCAGGAGGCAGCGGAGGTGTGCTAGTGCAGCAGCACTTGCCATTCTAACCCTCATTTCCTCGTTTTTTTTTTGCAGAAGCAGAGCAGGATTTTCTAATCTACGAATTCGTTAAAGCAGTCTTTTACTCAGCGTTCATGGGGCCTAAGAAGGGCAAGCGAGGTGGAGGTGCAGGCGGAGGCGCAGGTGGAGGTCGCGGGGAAGGGCAAGCTGGCGCGCCGAGGTAATTGCTCGTTCTCATCGCTTTTCATTTTACTCCTTCGTCGCCTATTCCGTCGTTGTCATGACACGCTGTGTCTTGCGCACTTGTGTAAGAACCGCGCATGAAATACTAAGATGCATGCCATTATCCCTTCGCACTCGCCTCCCTTCGCAGCGCCGTCGTTGTCATGGCACGCTTTGTCTTGTCCGTTTTTATATAAATTACAAATCAAATACTAATATACACGTCATTGTGGGTCCCGCCGGTCTCTTTCCCCCTTCCATCTCGCTTCCCTGCGTGCAGCGCAGCACCACCGGCGTCAGCAGCACCGTCGCAGCCGCCCGCGGGGGGCAGAGGCGCGCCTGCTCCCGCGGGAGCAGGAGGTCGCGGGGGAAGGGGCGCGCCGCCAGGGGGAAGGGGCGCGCCCGTTCCCGCAGGAGCACCCGGAGGAGTAGGAGCCCCTGGCGCAGGCGGAGGGCGTGGGCGCGGGGGGCGCGGGCGGGGAGGACGCGGAGAGCAGGCGCAAGGAGCGGGGGGGGTTGGGGGCATCACCGCAGGCATGGCGCAGATGGGTGTGTCCGCGCCACCCGCGGATTTCCCCGCCCTCGCACCCGCGCGTGCCCCCGCCCCCGCACCCGCGCGTGGCCCCGCTCCTACCCCCGCACCCGCTGCCCCTACTCCCGCCCCTATGCCCGCTGCCCCCGTACCGGTTGCGCCCGCGCCCGTAGCAGGTGCGGCGGCGGCGGGCGTGGCGGTGACGATGGCGGGGCCGGCGGGCGTGTCGAGCAGGGCGCTGGTGGCGGCGGCGCGGCCGGGGTTCGGCAAGGCGGGGCGGCCCGTGATGCTACTGGCGAACCACTTCAAAATCGACTTCCAGGTGCGCTTGCTCAGGGGCGGGGGCGGGAGGAAGAATGGGGGCGAGGGGGGAGGGGCGGCGAGTGGGAGAGCGTGTAGGTACTGGGGATAATGAATGGGTGCGAGTTGTGCTTGACCATCGTTCTCCGCGGCCCACCTCGCATCCTTCCCTGCATGCGTCTCGTCCCTTCTTGCTCTCCTCTCTTTCCCTCCCCCTCGCATCCTTTGCTCGAATTTCCGCCCTGATTCTGCCCATATGGTCACACGCCCCTTCCGGTTTCATTCTGAAACGTGTTTTAATTGCCAAACACTCATTGCGGGTCCAACCTCTCCCTTCCAGGACCTGGTCATGTATCACTACGATGTGGACTTTCCCCCCGCCCTCGCCTCCAAGGGCGTCATTAGACGCACCCGGGAACCTGAACCCGCTGCTTCACACGACCCTTCTCCCTCCTCTTCCTCCCCTCCCTTCCCCCCTCCTCAGGACCTGGTCATCTACCACTACGACGTTGAATTCTCCCCCGCGCTCGCCCCCAAGGGCGCCACTTGTTGCACGCCGGAACCTGCTGCTTCACACGCCCCTTCTCCCTCCTCTCCCTCCCCTCCTCTCTTCCCCCCCTCTCAGGACCTGGTCATCTACCATTACGACGTGGACTTCTCCCCCGCGCTCGCCTCCAAGGGCGTCATGCGGGCAGCCATCCGCCAGCTGGCGGAAACCTACAGTGCGCAGCTCGTCCCGCCTGGCGGCGCCCCCAGCGCCCCTGTGCGCCCCGTCTTCGACGGCATGAAGAACATTTTCACTGCCCGCCCGCTGCCGTTCGAGAGCCAGGAGTTTCGCGTGGTGCTGCCCGAGAAAGAGGAAGCGGCAGGGGCGGGGAGAGGCGGCGGAGGAGGCGGGGGAAGGGGAGGTAGCAGCAGTGGTGCTGGGCGCGGGGGCGGGAGGGGTGGGCGCGGAGGGGGGGAGCGGAGGGAGCGGGCGGTGAAGGTGACGGTGAAGCTGGCGGCGCAATACCCCATGTCATCCATGGCCTCGTTCCTGCAGGGCCGCCAGGCCGACATTCCGCAAGTGCTGCTGCAGGTGTGCTCTGAGTCAAATAAATGCATACGTGAAGCTGGCTCAGCAATTCCCCATGTCATCCATGGCTTCCTTTCTTCAGGGCCGTCAGGCCGACATTCCACAAGTGCTGCTGCAGGTGCGTTTTGAGTCAGTCAAAAAACACATGAAGAAGGTGACGGTGAGAGTGAGGGTGACAGTGAAGCTGGCGGCGCAGTACCCCATGTCGTCCATGGCCTCGTCCATGCAGGGCCGCCAGGCTGACATCCCCCAAGTGCTGCTGCAGGTGTGTGTTGAGGTTTGAATTCTTCCCCCCCTTGTCCCCGTCCCTGTCCCCATCACCTCTAGGCCGACCTTACCACTTTCTCTCCATCCATCACCTCCCTTTCTCTCCATCCATCACCTCCCTTTCTCTCCATCCATCACCTCCCTTTCTCTCCATCCATCACCTCCCTTTCTCTCCATCCATCACCTCCCTTTCTCTCCATCCATCACCTCCCTTTCTCTCCATCCATCACCTCCCTTTCTCTCCATCCATCACCTCCCTTTCTCTCCATCCATCACCTCCCTTTCTCTCCATCCATCACCTCCCTTTCTCTCCATCCATCACCTCCCTTTCTCTCCATCCATCACCTCCCTTTCTCTCCATCCATCACCTCCCTTTCTCTCCATCCATCACCTCCCTTTCTCTCCATCCATCACCTCCCTTTCTCTCCATCCATCACCTCCCTTTCTCTCCATCCATCACCTCCCTTTCTCTCCATCCATCACCTCCCTTTCTCTCCATCCATCACCTCCCTTTCTCTCCATCCATCACCTCCCTTTCTCTCCATCCATCACCTCCCTTTCTCTCCATCCATCACCTCCCTTTCTCTCCATCCATCACCTCCCTTTCTCTCCATCCATCACCTCCCTTTCTCTCCATCCATCACCTCCCTTTCTCTCCATCCATCACCTCCCTTTCTCTCCATCCATCACCTCCCTTTCTCTCCATCCATCACCTCCCTTTCTCTCCATCCATCACCTCCCTTTCTCTCCATCCATCACCTCCCTTTCTCTCCATCCATCACCTCCCTTTCTCTCCATCCATCACCTCCCTTTCTCTCCATCCATCACCTCCCTTTCTCTCCATCCATCACCTCCCTTTCTCTCCATCCATCACCTCCCTTTCTCTCCATCCATCACCTCCCTTTCTCTCCATCCATCACCTCCCTTCCTCCTCTCCCCCTCCCACCCACGGAGGAGTGACGGCCCTGGGCGGAGGAGTGACGGCCTACCGCGGCGTCCGTGCGCTTCTCTCCATCCCATCATCCCCTTCCACCCCCCGCCCTCCTCCTCCCCTCCAGGCACTCGACGTGGCACTGAGGGAACGCCTCCTCACCAGCCTCACACCGGTGGGTCGCTCGCTCTACTCCGCCTCTCTGGGCTCCACCGCACTGGGTGGCGGGGTGACGGCCTACCGCGGCTTCTTCCAGTCAGTTCGCTTCTCACAGCAGGGCCTGGCGCTCAACGTGGACATGGCTGCCACCGCTTTCCACCTCGACATGCCGCTCCTCACCTTTGCTGCCGACTTTCTGGGCCGCGGGGGGGGCGGGGGAGGCGGCGGGAGAGGCGGTGGGAGGGTTGGGTTTGGGGGGAGGGGTGGCCGGGGGCCGGGAGGGGGAGGGGGAGGGGGGTTTGCACCGAATGCGTCACTGAGTGATGGGGAGCGGGTGAAGCTGAAGCGCGCACTGCATGGGATCAAAGTGGGGGTGACTCACCGCGACACGCCCCGCCGGTCAGTGCCTCTCCTTCCCCGTCCCCCCCCTGTTCCCCACCGCGGCTGGAAAGTATCTTCTACCCTGCCCTGCTCCGTCTCCCTCTCCCTCTGCACTTGCCTTGCCATCACCCCCCCCCCTTCCCCAATGGATTTATGTACTTTTGCTACCCGTGTATCTCGTTCCTGCCCCTCCGTCCCTCCGCTTGTCCGGCCCTCCGCCCATCCACGCACCCCTCCAAACTTTCCCCGCATCCCCCCTTGCAGGTACCGCATCCAGGGTCTCACGCGCGAGCCGGCACACGCCCTCACCTTCACCATCGAGGGACAGGGGGAGACGTCCCTGGTGGCCTACTTCCGCTCCGCCTATGGCTACACCATCCGCCACCCCGCCCTGCCCTGCCCTGCCGTGCCCCATACCCTTTCATCACCTCCCCATTCCCCTCCCCTTCCCCCCTTGCAGGTACCGCATCCAGGGTCTCACGCGCGAGCCGGCACACGCCCTCACCTTCACCATAGAAGGAGAGGGCGAGACGTCCCTGGTGGCCTACTTCCGCTCCGCCTACGGCTACACCATCCGCCACCCCAACCTGCCCTGTGTGATGGCGGGCGGCGGCGGCAAGAGCTATCTGCCAATGGAGGTGTGCCACATCATCGGCGGGCAGCGGTACGGCCCGAAGCTGAACGAGGAGCAGGTCAGCAGCCTGTTGCGCTTCACGTGCACTCGCCCGGACGTGCGCGCGGGGGAGATTGGGAGCATGGTGACTCGCAACGACTACCCCAAGTGAGTGCTGATGCGGGATGGTGAGGTGAACGAGGAGCAGGTGAGCAAGCGAGTTTGCAAGTGGAGGAGGGATGGGAGGTGCTGATGTGAAGGAAATGGAAGGCCTGGCAGGGCTGTGTTGCATAGCAATTGGTGCTCTCTTGGTGCTGGTAGCCCCATGCCGGCACACCTGCTGTCACTTCTCTTCTCTGCACTCCGCTCCTGGCTCACCACGTCCCCATCCCCGTCTCTCTCTCCGTCACATCTCTTTCCTCCCCCACTTTTACCTCCCTTACCTCCGTGCTTCACGCTTTCGCCACCCTCCCCCGCTTCCTCGCCCACTCTCTCTCCCTTCCCTCCGCCCCTTGCAGCGACGCGTACGCGAGTGAGTTCGGCATGTTGGTGCATCCCCACATGACTCGCCTGTATGCCCGCCTGCTGGACCCGCCGCGCCTCGTTTACAAGGATAAGAAGGACGTGCGTGGGCTCAAGGGTGGGGTGGGGAGAGGGGGGATGAAGGGGATATGGGGGGGGGGGGGGATATGGGTGGGTGGAGTAATTGTTGGTTCGCCTGCTGGAGCCTCCTCGCCTCGTGTACAAGGATAAGAAGGACGTGCGTGCTCACAGGGGGGGGGGGGGGGAGGGGGGAGGGGAAGGGAATGGGTGGGAAGGGAGGGTTAAATGCACAGCTCCATGCTGGACGCGCCCTGCCTCGTGTACAAGGATAACAAGGACATGCGTGGGCTCAGGGGGAGAATGGGGGGGGGTGGGGGGTGGGAATGGGGGGGTGTTTGAGGGTGGGTGGGTGGGTGGGTGGGTGGGGCAAGTGCCAGAGTGCGTGTTGGACGCGCCCTACGCAGCGTACCATGACAACAAGGATGTGTGTGCTTCGCCCCTCCATCGCTTTCTCCCCCATCGCTTTCTCCCCCATCGCTTTCTCCCCCATCGCTTTCTCCCCCATCGCTTTCTCCCCCATCACTTCCTCTCTATCCCCGCCCGCTTGCACCGTCCTCCCTCCCTCCCCTCTTTCCCCCTCTGCTGCACCACGTGGCACAGTGCACTGGAGCAGGGAGACCAGCGATCGTGGGTGGAGTATTTCTAACACCACCCCCTCCCTTCCTCGCCATCCCTCCCTCCGCCTCCCCTTCTCCCCCCCCTCGCACAAACACACCAGGTGGTGCCGCGGTTTGGCGCATGGAACATGATGGGCGGGCAGAGGCTGGTAGACGGGGCGCGCATAACGCACTGGACCATCCTCAACCTCACGCCCTACCTTGACTGCTGCCGGGGTGCAGTGCTTCCACGCCCATTGCTTCCACTCTTTCCCCACTTGCACCCTCGCCCCCCCCTCCTCCCTCTACCCTCCCTACCCTCCTTCCCCTCCTTCGCCTCCTTCCCCTCCCTCCCCTCCCTTTCCCCCTCTCCCCTCCCTTCCTCTCCTGCTCTCCTGCTCCCAACGACACCAGGTGGTGCCGCGCTTTGGCGCATGGAACATGATGGGCGGGCAGCGCCTCATAGACGGCGCGCGCATAACGCACTGGACCATCGTCAACTTCGCCCCTTACCTGGACGCCATGGGCGTGCAGCGCTTTGGCCAAGCCCTCACACAGCGCTGCGCTGACCTGGGCGTGCATGTGAGTGCGTGCATGTGAGTGCGTGCATGTGAGTGCGAGCATGTGAGTGCGTGCATGTGAGTGCGTGCATGTGAGTGCGTGCATGTGAGTGCGAGCATGTGAGTGCGTGCATGTGAGTGCGTGCATGTGAGTGCGTGCATGTGAGTGCGTGCATGTGAGTGCGTGCATGTGAGTGCGAGCATGTGAGTCCGTACTAGTCTAGGCGAGTCAACGCGGGTCAGGGGGGTCAATGGGGCAACAGGGTCAATGGGAATCAATAGGTCGATGTGATTTAACACGGAGCCACACGATGGTTTCAGTAGTGGAGCCCCATTTCCTCTTTCCCCTCTTCCCTCCTTCTCTGTTCTCTCATCTCCCTTCCCCCGCCTCACACCATCAGATGGAGCCCCGCCCGGTGGTGCCGCCGCTCACGGGGCGGGTGGAGTCGGTGGAGGCTGTCATGCGCCAGCTGGCGGACGCTAGCAGCCGAGCGGTGCCGCCCGGGCAGTGGCTGCAGCTGGCGGTGGTGATCCTGCCGGGCAGAGGCACGTTCTACAACGAGATCAAGCTGATCGCTGAGACGCAGCTGAACGTTGTCACGCAGTGCTGCCTCGTCAACCACGCCCAGAAGTGAGTGTGCCTAACCACGCATGCACACAAGTGAGTCAGGAGAAATGGTGGTGGCATTTCATGGGGTGGCATGGCATGGGGCAGCATGGCATGTCCTGGCGGGGCACGTTCTACAACGAGATGAAGCTGATTGCTGAGACGCAGCTGAATGTTATGTCGCAGTGCTGCCTTGTGAACCACACACACAAGTGAGTGAGTGCGGGTCATGCGTGGTTGTTGGCATCAGCAAGTAAGGGTGCCCTGTGACCCCTTCTTCTCTAAGAATGAGTTTGAGAGAGCCTAACTTGTAATGGCATTAGCAACCCTCCCGTGTTCCCCAACCCACCACACGTCACCGCCATAATTTCTCGCATCACTTCCCTCCCTGTTCCCCTCCACCCTTCCTCCCTCCTCCCTCTTCCCCCCCCCCAGGTGCCAGTCACAGTACCTAGCGAATCTGGTGCTCAAGATCAACGTCAAGCTGGGCGGCCACAACATGCTGCCGCAGTGTTTCAAGTCGACTCCACCCCTCTGCATCACCACCCTCTCACACCTCACCCCCTCCCAGGTGCCAGTCACAGTACCTGGCGAATCTGGTGCTCAAGATCAACGTCAAGCTAGGGGGCCGCAACGTGCTGCTGCAGTCGGAGAGCATCGGTCGCCTGCCCATGGTGGCTGAGCGCCCCACCATTGTGTTCGGGGCTGATGTCACCCACCCCAGCCCGGGGGATGATTCTTCTCCCTCCATCGCCGCTGTCGTCGCGTCCCGGGTGGGTTGGGGGAGGGGGGTGGGACTGGGGAGGAGGGAAATTGTGTGAGGAGGGAAAGCGAGGGGGGAGGGAAAGGGGCGGGGGATGGGAAGGGAAGGGTGGGAAGGAATTGTTGAGTGGTACGAGGAGGCCATGGGGCACCTGCCCATGGTGGCTCACTGATGCCGGTGTCTGCTGCGCATGCAGGCATCTATCGGGGCGCCTCAAAAACTCATCGCCACACAACCCCTTCCCCCGCCCCTCCCCTCCTCTCCTCAGGACTGGCCGTGTGCGAACCGGTATGGGTGTCTGCTGCGCACGCAGGCGCACCGGCAGGAGATTATAGAGGGGCTGCATGAGGAGCGGCGGGGGGCGGACGGCAGCATGCAGGCGGGCGGGCTGGTGCGGGATCTGCTGATGGAGTTCTATCAGACCGCCAAGCGCAAGCCCGAACGCATCATCTTCTTCCGGGATGGCGTCAGCGAGGGGCAGTTCTACCAGGTATGTTCAGAGCAGTACAGTGCGGTCCAGTGCGATGCTGTGCGGTGGGTGCAAGCAGGGCGGGCTGGTGAGGGATCTGCTGATGGAGTTCTACCAGACCGCCAAGCGCAAGCCGGAGCGCATCATCTTCTTCCGAGATGGCGTCAGCGAGGGGCAGTTCTACCAGGTGCGCGTGCAGTGCGGTGCTGTCTGATAGTCTCTTTACATTTGTCTTGAGTTGACTCGGTGTGTGTGTGCGTGAGCGCCCTGTGATCCAGATACCAGCAATGGATGCATGTGACACATGAACTGTCCGCATCACCACACTTTTACCTCTCTCCCCGATTTCATCTCCCCGCCTTCTACTTTCAACTCCAGGTGCTGGCGTACGAGCTGGAGGCAGTAAAAGCCGCGTGCCGGGCCATGGACCCATCGGGCAGCTACAGCCCGCGCATCACCTACGTGGTGGTGCAGAAGCGGCACCACACGCGGCTGTTCCCGGCGGACAATAACCGTGACAAGAACGGCAACGTGATGCCGGGCACGGTGGTGGACTCGGTCATCTGCCACCCCAGGGAGTTTGACTTCTTCCTCAACTCCCACGCCTCCATCCAGGTTGGTACCTCTGCCTCTGCCCTCTTGCCCTCCTCACACCCCGTCCCCCCCCCCCCTTCCCTTGCGTGCGACTGGTATCGACTTTCTCTCCACTTGTCAGCCGCTCCACCTTTGCCAAAGCGAGCCATTAATCACCCTTTTCTCAAGCCCCTTCTTCCGCATCCTCATTCTGTACCTCCCCACCCAGGGCATATCGCTCCCGACGCACTACCGGGTGCTGTGGGATGAGAACAGCTTCACGGCCAACAGCATGCAGGCCTCAGCACTCTGAATCCCTCTGCCCCCTCTCCGCCTCTCTTTTTCCTCTTATCTCTCCTCCCCTGCCTTTTCCCAATCCCACCCCCCCTTCTCACCCTCCTCCTCCCCTCACCCCAGGGCACGTCGCTCGCGTCCGACGCACAACAGGGTGTTGTGGGACGAGAACAGCTTCACGGCCGATAGCATACAGGCACTCTGCTACTCGCTCTGCCCCCTCGCTTACCTTTCCGTCGAATAAAGTTTCAATCAACCATCTTCCTACCACTACCCCCTACTTTGCCCTCCCCTTCCCCCAGGGCACCTCTCGCCCAACACACTACCGGGTGTTGTGGGACGAGAACGGCTTCACGGCCGACAGCATGCAGGCGCTCTGCTACTCCCTCTGCTACACCTACGCGCGCTGCACGCGCTCCGTCTCCCTCGTGCCGCCCGCCTACTACGCTGACCTGGCGGCCACGCGCGCGCGCCTCTACCTGGAGGGCATCTCGGGCAGCATGCGGGGGAGCGGGTCCGAGAGTGGGTCGGCGGCCGGGCGGGCGGCAGGGGGCGGCGAGGTGGCGGGGTCGGGCGGCACGGGGAGCTCCAGTGGGTCGTCGCGGGTGGGCGGGGCACCACCTGTGGTGCCGCTGCCGGTGGTCATGCCTGTCCCCAGGAAGGGCATGTTCTTCTGCTGACTGCAACCCTGCTCAGGCCTGCTCCTTGCCTGCCCGACTCCTTCCCGAGCCGTGGTCTTTGGCTGGCCACCTCCCTGCCATGTCTGCTGAAGAAAGACGCTGGTCTTCCATGGTGTGCTGCTTGTTGCCTTCACTGGCTGGTGCTCTGTGATGCAGTGTGCGACGCAGGGATGGGATGGAGGCTAGGCTGGGCTAGTCGGGGCCAGCAGTGGCTCGGGTCGGGTTTGTGGCAATATGCTGCCATGAGCATGGCCTTGTACATTGGACTCCCACTTGTTTCTTGTACAGTTTAACTACCATATGTTGTGGTGAGGTGGGTGATGGTGCTATATTACCTTGCTGCTACTTCGTGCACTGGTAATGTAAATCGATGCGGTTGCTCACTGATAGTGGATGTTATGTTCGTTGAATCACTTGTCTTGGAGACAGAAATCCATGGGATCATTTGCACCAAGCAATGAGCCCGGGGTTGCTGCGGATTGTGTGCTAGGTAAGCTTAACTTTGGTGTAGGGAGAACCTCCTCACCAGGGGTTTTTTTATCAGAGTAAATTACTCTGTTTCTCTGAAAATCAGAGTGGTTTTTAGGGGGTCACTCTGACGTGTCTGGGTAATTTTTTTGGAAGATAAGTTTTCTCTGATTTGTCAGGGTTCTGATTTTAGCTACTCTGAGAGACAAGTGTATATTTGTGGCGAATGTATTTTTCTCTGTACAGTGTATAGGCATTTCGACCGAGCCCCCCCCCCCAATTGGTGGAAGATGGTTAGTCGAACTAACTACAGTTATGAAATTTCCGGCAGTGCAGTAGGCCTGGGTTCAATACTTGAGAGGACACTACAAGATGGATACATCAGTTCCTTGATTGCCTAGAGTATATTTTTCAGAAGTTAAGTTTTCTCTGACAAATCGGAGTAACTCTGTTACGAGTGCAATTGAGTGAACGAACGAGAATTGCACTATTGAAGCAAAAGTACAATGAGCGAAGGCATGAGCGAAGAATATATAGCGAAACTACAGTGGTAACGGTAATGGACTGTGGTTGTCGCGCGACGGGCCTGGGACTGAGGTTGGGAAAAGTGTCGAAGCGGAGGCCCGGAGCGCGGGTTACCCACCGAGCCGTGAGGTTGGGGTGCGACGTGCGAAGGTGGTGGGCGGATTGTCGATGCGAGGATTGCGAGTGGTAACGGTGCTGACTGTGGTGCTACAGTGATGTACGCGTTGAGAAGGAACGCGAAGTAAGGAAAAAGAGATTTTCCTTACACTACCCCCCCCCTTAAGGAGGTCCTCCTTACGAAAGTGCGTGTACATCCCTGAAATTCCGGCTGCGCAGATACTCGGTGAGGACGGGGTGGTTTTCGATTCTGTCCAGGGGAACCCAATTGTCTTCGGTGGGTGTACGGTCCTTCCAGCGGAGTAAGAACTCGATCCTTCGGGCTCCTCGAGGGTCGCGAACTCTGTGACTCAGGATTTTCTCGGGGGTGATGATTGGTTCAGTCGGTGGTCTTGTCATGCTGGCTGGGCGATTGCGTGGCAGTTGGCTCGTGGACGGGACATAAGGGCGAAGCAGGCTGACGTGGAACGAGGGGCTGACGTACCAGTCAGCAGGGAGGAGGAGGTGGGGCTTATGCGAAATGGCCCGCAGTATCGAGGGCGGAGTTTCGGGGTGATGGGCAGTCGGAGATTTTGGGTGTCAAGCAAAACTAAGTCGTCGGGCTGGTAAGTGACAGGTCTGCGGTGGCGGTCGGCGTTGTGTTTAGCGATGATGTTAGCTTTTTTAATTGCGTCTGCTGCCCTGGTCCGTGCTGCTTGCAAAATTTCGGCGAACTGTTGCGCGCGTGGAACCGGGTTGTCGGGACTCGGGGTCATGGGTACTGTTGGGTCTTGTCCGTAATTCAGGTAAAACGGTGACTGTTGGGTCGTCGCGGATGGGGCGTTGTTGTATGCGAATTCGATGAGTGGCAGTTGCTGTTCCCACGTGTTTGGGTCGTCGCACGTGGCCCGGATGAGCTGTTCCATGGTCTGATTTGTCCGTTCTGTCTGTCCGTCTGTTTCGGGGTGGTACGATGAACTAAACTGTAGTCGCGTGCCGAACTGCTGCCACAGGTTCCGCCAGAAGTTGCTGGTGAATTTCGTGTCTCTATCGCTGATGATTGATGCTGGTATCCCGTGTAGTCGAACGACGGTAGAGATGAAGAGGCGGGCTGTTTCTTCGGCTGTGATTGATTTTTTGCAGGCTGCGAAGTGTGCCATTTTCGTCAGTCGATCGACGACGACCAGGATCGCGTCATTTCCACTCGCCCCGGCCGGTAACCCCGTGACGAAGTCCATCGTCACCTGCTGCCAAGCACGCTCTGGAGGTGGGATTGGCTGCAACTGTCCCGCCGGCCGCTTCCGTGTTGACTTCATGATCTGGCAAGTGGGACACGATGCCACGTGTCGCTGCACGTCGGTCAACAATTCGGGCCAGTAATAATACCGCTGCAGCTGCTGCCTTGTTTTCTCTACCCCGAAATGTCCCGAGGTAACCCCGTCGTGTGCCTCTTGTAATAGTAATTCCCGTAGCAGTGTGTACCCTGGTACCCAGATGCGATCGGTCCCGGCTTTTACGTAATAGACTCCCTTGGCTGCTGCGAACTGCTGCGAATTTCCTCCTGTGAAGGATGGGTCCGTTTGATATCCGTGGGTAAATAGTACTGTCAGTAGCGGGCTGGTCTGGGCGAGTAGTATCGCGTGGATCTGGGCAGTGGGGCGGGTCAGTGCGTCGGCGATGTTCGAGGCTCCTTTTTTATAGGTGACTGTGTAGTGGAAGTTTGACTCGAGGAAATCGAGCCACCGAATCTGTTGTGGGTTGAGGTGGGGCTGTGCGCGGAGGTACTGTAGTGATCGGTGGTCTGTCCGTACTGTCACGTCTGCGCCGGTCAAGTAGCAGTGCCACACTTTGAACGCATGCACGATCGCGAGCATTTCGCGGTCGTGTATCGGGTAATTTCGCTCGGGCGGATGCAGTTTTCGTGACTCATATGCGATGGGCTGTAGGCCGTTGCCGAAGTCCTGTAGCAGTACGGCTCCAATGGCGATGTCGCTTGCGTTTGTAACAACCTCGAAGGGGCGGTGTGGGTCGGCGATGCGCAGGACGGGCGGTGAACAGAGAACATTTTTCAGGGCAGAGAAGGCAGCATGCTCTTTCTCCCCCCACGTAAAAACGACCCCCTTTCGCAGTAAATCCGTCAGCGGGGCAGTCAACTGTGCCATGTCGGGGACGAACCGACGAACATAATTAACGAACCCTAAAAAACTCTGCAGTTCGGTGATGTTCGTCGGGGGACGCCACGCTTTTACCGTATCCAGCTTCTTTGGGTCGATTTCAACTCCAGCCTCCGAAATAACGTGCACCAAAAATTATAGTCTGTCCCGAAAAAACTCGCACTTAGAGCCCTTGGTTAGTAACCGATGTTCCTCTAAAACATTAAATACTGCTTCGAGATCCGCTAAATGCTGCTGCTTGTCGCGACTGTAGACGAGGATGTCGTCGAGGTAAACTATCACGCATTTATCTAAGAGTGGCCTAAACGCCTCGTTCATGGTCATCTGAAATGTTGCGGGCGCGTTGGTCAGCCCGAAAGGCATCACTCAAACGACCCGTACCTAGTCCTAAATGCTGTCTTGGCGCAGTCCGATGGTTCGACCCGAATCTGATGGTAACCCCCCCGTAAGTCTATTTTCGAAAACACCCGTGCTGTTCGCAGTTGGTCGATCAGTTCGTCGGCGCGGGGAATGGGGTACCGCGACTTGACTGTTACCCTGTTGAGTGCTCGGTAATCGATACACATGCGAAGCCCTCCGTCTTTTTTCGGTGTGATCAGTATCGGTGCAGCGAACGGTGACGAACTTGGTCGAATAAACTGCTTCTCTAACAAATAATCTAACTGCTTCCTCAGTTCGTCCAGCTCGGGCTGTGTCAGTCTGAACTGGCGCTGTACAGTTGGCTGTGCCCCCGGTTCTAACTCGATCCTATGATCATGCGCCCGCTGAGGTGGCAGCCCTTCCGGTAAGTCGTCTGGAAAAATCCCCGGGTACCGTTTCAACAGTTCCTGTAGTTCGGGCGGCACTGCTGCCAACAGTTTCTGAAAATCGCTCGGCTGCTCCGCTTCTCCTACTAATGCTATATCTACTGCGTACACGTCAGCTCCACCGGCGACAACCCGTTTCATCGTGATGGCGTTGACGTGGACTGTTGAAGACTCGGGCGACTGCCAGCGAGGTAGCATGACCCAGTTACCGCTACTTCGCACAGTGCAGCTACCCGTCGTCCAGTCGATTCGTGGGTTGTACCGTCGTAGCCAATCACGTCCTAGTAAAACATCATGCCCATCCAATGTCGTCGCGAGCATTTCCTGTGTAAACCCGAAGTTTCCCCCGCAGCGAACTTTTACTCTCTCCACTGTGAAGAAATGAGGAATGGATTGACTAAGGGAAAGTTGGGTACAAAAGCAAACCCTAGAAAACTGTACCCCATATGTGCTACCCCACTATAGCCTACAGTAGCTATGTCATATAAATCTGACACACCCCCATAGGCAAAGTGGGGGAGAACAAGGGGTCACAAGACCAGTCAAGCAAAGCAAAGCAAGCTCAGGGTGGATCACAAAGTCACCACACATTCCGAGCACAAGTTCAAGGCCACAAGGCCAGTTCACATGCAGGATTACATATATATATAAGGCTAGACAAGCAAGAGCAGGTGTATATATATATGCAACAGTACAAACAAGGTCAAGGGGTGAGCAAGTGAGGCAAGGTAGGCACAAGACCCTGCTGAGTACAGAAGCGCTGATGATCACAAGGCGCAAGTGCCTTGGTGAAGATATCAGCAGTGTTGGCCTCAGAGGCCACGTACGCAAGCCGTAGCTGACCACGCTGCTGTAGCTCACGAGCAAGGAAGTAGCGGAGAGCAATGTGCTTCGTTCTGTGCTCCAGTCTCTGCTCTCGACACAAGGCCAG